ATGGAAGGAGGGGTGGCACAAGTACAAGATCATAAGCAAGCCAGTTAGGCCAAAATAAGGTACAGCGTCTCAAGTATTTTTGCAATTGGTTGTAGCTGAGAGGTCTTGGCACAGATGATCAATTGCGAACTATGTAGTTTCTGATTCCAAGTGACCTGGGAAATTGAGAAGGTTTATAATCTGGGGCCTGTAGTTAAGAGGGTTAAACCAAGGCCCCAGTCCACACTCTCTGGCAGCTTCTATCAAGATCAAAATATTTGGCGTTTAAATTGGCGTCCGCGTATTGATGCTTTTCTTTGAGCCTTGTTTTCCCCTCTCTCGAAGGAGTAGTATTTTGCCTCTGTAAGTGTTATGCCTGTCTGGCCACACCTCAACTTAATTTCTTTTGAAGTGGAAAAAAACCCTGTTCTTCGAAATGGTTCCGTTCACTTTTTGTGATGAGAGCCGATTCTGTATTGTTTTCAATGGAGTTTTTTTACATCAATTTTTTCTTGTGCAGTGGGTCAGACGCTATGTGTTTTTCCTTATCGGCAGGGTTGTCTCTATCTTACCAGCTCACTATGGTGTGGGCTCTTTTGCTTGTGTGAAGCTTTCTGGGTGGCTTATTCTCACTAACTTCAGGTCTCGTTGTGGCCACGGCTCTTAAGTGGTCCTCTTGACGGTCACCTAGTTATCTCAAAGTCGTGCTACCAAGTGTGTCACACGTCCCACCTTTGTAATCCCAGCTGAGTGAAAAAGTTTTGGACTTTTTTTGGCACTTTGGATCAATGGCTATCTTATCCCGCGTTGCTCAGGAGCGGGATTTTGTAAATACAGTCCCTCTTACCCGCTGCTTTGCCCATGAAACCGTCGACTTTGGCCCGCCACATGCTCCTCGGACCACCTTGACTATATGGTTGCGTGCCTCGTTTCTTTGCTTTCAAGCATATCGTAGAGGCTCGCAATTATTGTTGTTTTCACTCAGGGGGGTGGGGTAGGTGTCTCCAAGAATAACGTACGGTGTCTCAGTTCTCGCACCAGTATGGCGTCACGCACGTCTCACGTCAAAGACTTTCAAAATGGCAAGCAAAGTGCTCGTCGAAGAGACGGATAAAAAAATCGAATTTCTATTGGATATACTATACTGATTTCATAGATTTGGCAATGTTAAGATGCCTATTGTCAGAGAAAACCAGGGTTTGGTACTTTTTTTGGATGAAACGTCTAGCGGTATCATGAATTTTAAAGATGCCTTACTATCGTCGAGCAAATCTTCCGGGGACTTATACCAACCGGTCACACTTTGGAGGGCCGGTGTATAGCAAAACCGAGAAATTTAGACACAGCAATAGGAGGTTTAACAAAGGATATACTAGGCTTTAAGTGTGCTTATTTTGAACTCTTTAGAGCCGATGGATACCCAAGTATCAATCCCTCCAAAGTTCGTTCGCATTGCTAACCAAACTTGATATTACCATACACAAAATTTAACAATTAACAGAAGCACATTCACCAGTTTTTTTGCTTTGTTTGTTTGTTTGTTTTTGTTTTTTTTGGACAACACACTGACAACAGCAAAACAACCACAACAACAACAATTTACCTCGAAGGATTAAGGATAAACAATTAAAGACAAATCAACACTACTGCACATCTATTTTTCAACAAGATCCCCGAAAGCGTCTACGCGGGATGTGTTGGTGTAAGTAAGAATTACCGGTATGTTGAATGGCAATGGAAAGTTGAGTAGTGTATCAACAACAAATGTGTGCAGGAGAGACGGAGATGTTCTGTTAAGGACAAATACACTAGAAGATGAGTTACACACAAGGGTTCCTTTGCTATTCAAAACAAAACTTACATCAATATTACACCAAAATTTGCATTTCCTTTACTAATGTCCTTAAAAAATGCACTTCCACATTCAACGATAGCATGTAAAATAATGTACCATACTTCCAATAAGTACAGGGCTGCAAGTCTGTGGTCATAGGAAAATTTCAGGGAGGCCTTAGGGCCCCCAAGGATTTTAGCTGGGGTGCCCAGGCCTGAAAAATCTAGATGGTCGCCCCAAAAAAATTTTCAGGGAGCCTTTCGGTCTCCCAAACATTTAGGCTAGGGTGCCCGGGGCCTCCAAGTTGGTCGCCCAAATTAATAAATCAGTGAGCTGTTAGTTAATTATTAAAAATTAAACAAATTATTTTCTAAACAAATCGAGCAGAATTCTGTGAATACTTTTTTCATGAAAAATCACATCCTTTGACTTACTGAGCGTTGAAAGGAAGTTTTCGCGCCATATGATGAGAACCATGGGCAACGCCGCCGAATATTTCATGTTTTTTAAATGAAAAACTAAGATTCTGGTCTCTTTATGTATTTTTTATAAAAAAAACTTTTGGGTCAAAAATAACGACACTATTCTTTTTACTAATAATTTTGATTATTCGCTTAAGATTGACTGTGATTACGTGGAGCTTTCCGGGAAAACTGCTATGATTTCAACGAAACCGTGGCCGCCCCGAATCTATTATTTCTTTTAAATAGATCGTCTTGTTGGAAAGTCGTCGTTTAAGCGCAGAACAGAAGTATTTTCTTTCTATAATTATTATCGGTGAAATGTTCGGGACTAATCAGCTTTCTGGGGATTGGGTAGCCAGCTTTTGTAGCTCTACTTTGACCGCTAGATTTAGCTTTTTGCCCATTTATTTTTAGCACATGATACTTAATGACTTGTGACGACACGAAAGACAATGCGGGAATTTATATTTTTATACCCGTTTCTAAAACAATCACAATAATAGTCGTATCTTTTCATTTTTTATACGTCGTATTTTACTGGAATTATAATGTTAAGTTATTTTTTAGCCTCGCAGACACAGCAGTGAAAAAAAAAAAACAAAAACAACAACAAAAAAAAAAAAACAGGAAAAATATATGATTAACATAAAAAAGCGACTTCCGTGTTTATTCAGCAATTTTTTAAAATACGAAACTATTGTTTCGCCTCTCGCCCGACCGTACTTTACGCCTTGACCATCCTAATTTGAAGAAAAAATTTTAATGTAATTTTGAAATGCTGTTAAAATCGAAAACTGTGCGGCTCAGCAAGTTCATAGTCAAGGATTATGTTTCATGTGAATTCACGTGAAAACAACCTTTGAACATCAACGCGCGCTCGATTTAAAACTTTTTCTTAAAACTTTTTGATTGACACGCTACATACAAGTCGACCTCAAGAATTTCTTAGCAAGTGGAGCGTTCTTTTTAGAACGCGTAGCGACCGACCGAGCTATGATTTTGCAAGAAATAAATTCTAGACATTCTAGCTTTTTGACTGTAAATCAAGAAACAACACAAGTATGTCGCCCGGCTGGGCGACCTGGACAATATTTTCAGTCGCCCGAGGCCACGTTTAGTGCAGTTAGAGCACAGCCTTGAGTCTTTGTCCTCATCTACGCAGTTAGGCTTACTTTTCCCTCCTTTGCTGACGCAGTATCTTTTTTCTGCTTGTGTAATCGCAACCTGACTTGCAAGTGATTCGAAGTTGCAGCCAAAAAAAATCACACACGTCTCACGGGACGGGCACGGAAGAAGGGAAAGTTAAAAAAAAAAAAAAAAAAAAACAAGGTGATTTTGGACTCCCAAGAAAAAAACAAAAGGAAAGCGCAACCGAATTTATGATGCTGGCTGACTACGTCATCCCGCGTAAAAAGCCAATTAAACAGCGTGAAATCACTCAAATAAACCACATACGAAACCAATGTTACTACAAATACGTTATCGCAAAAACCTCGCGAGGCTGTAAAGGGTCACCAGTAAGAATCAGTGGCTTAGCTGGGAGTCGAACTTGGTTCATCTTCACATGTAGGAACTCCTAGACCACTACGCCACCGTGTCACTCGTTTTTGGTGCAGTAAAGTTGTTACATGTAAAGCAATTTCTCTACCATAGACGCTGTACGAAGCTGGTGCACAAAGATACTCTTAAGGAAATCTAGCTTAAGCGCGTATTTCAAAGCTATTTTGCCCTCGGGTTCAACTGGCCGATCGATGTAGATAAGAGAACGTCACCAAACATACTGACTCAGAGACATAGAAATCGATCACACTAGCTGTAAAATGTCTTGGATAATTAAGAAATCAACAAAGGCGCACACTTAAACGGATTGATACTAAGTAGGTCGATTTAATCAGCGAAAGAATATATGGAATATATTAAACGTGTGTGATGTCTGAATCGAGCCTCCTATTCTGGAGGCTATAAGATGCTTATTTTAGAGAAATAAAGGAAATAATCTTTGATGGCCTTGCTGATCCCGCAAAGAAGATGGCGATCCCGCAACAAGACCCGCGGCACAAATTAACAAAAGTACTCAATTACGGACACATTATACCATGACAGTTTAATTAAATTAAATTAACTCGATCACGGACACATTATACCATGACAGTTTACACAAGTAGATAAAAGCAACAGCAAAGCTCTCATCAAATTAGCGAGTGCTTCGTAGTTGGAAAACAGTAGAGTCATCTCCTCCCCTGTTCTAACTCTAATTCTGCCAGTGCTTTTATGCTAAGCTCCGTATGAACATGGAGCAAGGTTTCGTCTTTTTTATCATCTCTGTTTTCTACTGTTATGATTGCTTGATAGCTACAGTTGTAGCCTCGTGAATTCAACTTATGATTAAAGGTAAACGTTTCATTTTAACCTTCGGAAGTACACGCAAATTCACACCGTGGTACAAGGGGGGGGGGGGGATGGATGGAACCCCTCCCCGGAGTTTTTGATATGTTGCAATATTTCAAAACGATTTTACCTTTAGTGGAAAGCCTTTGATCTTCTTAACAAGATGAAGTATATTTTATGGATAGTGGCGCTGCTGGAGGCCTGTGGCGTCACCAACAATGATCGCCATCTTAGAATCCAAGGGTTAATATATAAGCTGTTGTTGTCATATTTTTCTGTTTAGAAAAAACAGACAAGCACAAACAAGTCATGTCTGCCATCGTAACAACGGTTCAGTAAGAGGTACTATTGGTCTTCTGCTAAAGAAAGGCCGACAAAGTGCATTGAAAAAGCTGAGGGATGGTGACGTTGCAGACGAGCAATTACGAAGCTGGATCGTGGACGAAATGGACAATGTGAACTCGAAGCTAGATGCAATGGCAAGGAAAGATCTCGGGGCGAGCATTTCCCATTTCAAACAAGGCGTGATCCTCCTAAATAAAGCAATGAATACGAAAACGAGCGGCAAAGATAGTTTGAACGTTGTTCCTGCTGCAGTGGGAAGAGATGAAGACATGAAGAAGACAAGCATTGCAAAAACAATCCAAACATTACTTCTGAAGCAGGAGATAAGGAGGCATCTTGGTCCGGGAAGTTTTTCTCATTTGCGAATCCACTGGGAAGTCTCTTTGTAAAGGGTAAAAAGGAAGAGAAAAAGTCAGACAACGCTTCTCAAACAACAGAGGAAATGATGGCTGGAGCCGCCGAGAAAAACGAATCATCTACCCTCAGAGGGGAACTAATGAAGCTGAATTTAAACAGTCTTGATGAGAATGCAATGCTGGACGCAAAGAAAAGGTTTGACGATGCGCGACGAAAAGCAACAGATGCTTTTTGCAATGAAGTTCTAAACCCTGTAGACCGTATCCTTGCCATGGGTGTTCGTTTAATGGCAGCGTTACTGGAAAAAGTGGATAATCCAGTTAATTCTTTAGACTTGTGTATATCTGACCTCAACGAACTACACTCGCAACCGTTTGTTAAAGAGAATTTTAGACTTGAGCTCTGGAAAGGCATAAAGTCAAGGTTCAGCAAAGGAGAACGAAAGCAAATTGTTTCCATGGTCTGTCAAATAAATCGCATCATTTATGAGTTTACGTCCCTGGTACGAACTGAAGATCAAACGTTCTACTTTTTGCCCTGCGTTCAAGTCGGAGAAGTGGAGATCGATCCTCTGCGTGACTCAAGAATGTTAAAAACGCTGCGTAAACAAAAATTGGGTGACTGTTCTTTGGCTTGGTCATTTGGTCAAGAGGGCCAACAAGAAAACCAAGAGCTTAAGTCAGCGGTTAGTATAGCAACCAATACCGCTGGGGAATTTCTCGTCGTCGATAGCAAGGATAAGTGTGTTAACAAATATGACATTTATGGCAATTTAACAATTTCTGGGCATACGGAGAACATGACAGACTTTGGCATAGTTGCTGCAGCAACTGACAGCGATGACAGCATTTATGTTTTGCTGAGTAGCGTGGATTTTAGCAATAATCGTGCTTTACGTGCGCGTGTTTGCGTGTTCGATCCGTTGCTTCAGTTGAAACATGAGTTTGCTGTCGGAAGTAACTTAGAAGCCGTGACAGTGAAGACAACAAATAATCATGTGCTTCTTGTACCTGGCAGTTTCGACCCTGGCCGTGTTACGCCTAGCGCGTCACTAGTGGGGACTCTTAAAGAGGTTTATATGGTGACTAGCGACCCCAGTGGAAAGGAAATTTGTCAATTTTCCATAAAAACCTGTGGTAAAATTCAAGACATCATAGCTGGTGACAACTGCATTATGGTCTTAAATGTTGAATCCGTGGTCTTCGTGTTTACCAGCTCTAACGATAGTCCCGTTTCATATCTCGTTGAGACGTTTCTCGTGCAGGTCAATGCTCGAGCTATAACGTATCACCCAAGAAGCAAACACGTAATCGTAGCCTCACAGACTAAGTCGTACCGCTCACAACTGCTGTTTTACAGTAAGAAAGGCAAACTTGAACGCAGCATAGATCTTGATGTGGAGAAGGGCTACGAGATAACTGCAGCGGCGGTCACAAGAGATGGACGCATCTGTATTGCAACTTCGAATTACTTGGAAGAGAAAGGAAAGGTGCTTGTGTTGTAGTAAAACCTGCCCTTCCTATAGAAGCCATTTTTGCCCTTCCCGTTTAAATCATTGCAATTAACTCTACGTTAATTGATAATTAGGACTCACCAGTTTGAAATTCTGTAGACATGATTAGGATTTTTTGGGGAGGTAGGGAGGAGGGGAGGAAGAGAGCGACGGGAGAACGGGAAAAAACAATGGCGTCCTTTTCCTGTCGGCCCCCAAAGAAAAACGGAAGAAGGGATGGTTGGGATGAGCAACACCCATCTTCAGTTCAGAACCCGCTAGTGGGTATGATATAAATGTAGAGTACAACATATAGTCTTAAGCGTGACAAAATATGAATATACGACAATGTGTAGTTCCAGAAAATATCCATTTCCCTAACGGAGGGCACTTTTGCTTTAGTCCCTCCCCCCTCCCCCCACCCCTTTCTCCGGAATTTCCATTCCAGGAGGTACTTGTCAGACCCCCCACCCCTGGAATTTCGGTACTTTTCCGACTTGGTTAGGCTTCTCCTGGAATGAAGAGTTACGTCAAAAATTACTGTTACGCCATACTATTATGCGAAAGTCAATTGTTTCTGCGATAAAGAGAGAAAAAAAAATCCTTTTATCCATGTTAGTACAGTGTCTAATAATCTCAATTTCCTTCTTAGTTAATGATTAACGGTAAGTCACTGAGAAACACTTTTTCTTTCCAGTTAAAAACATGTCACAAGAAGACTTAGAACGCGACCACATTACGATGGATACCACAATACGTACTTGTGAAATACCGTTACAGCTAGATAACTAAAAGTTTATTTATGAGCCGATGCAACTATCGCGTAAAAAAAAAATCATTAAAAAATAAACATTCAGCCGACCTTTAATAAAATATAATCGATGAAAACAATAATTTTTATTTTAAAGACCGTTAACAGTAAAATAACTGATAGCTTGTTCAACAGAGCAGCTGTTAGTTTTTCATAACTCACCAGTCTTACTCGGAGCCCCCCTGAAAAAGACCTCAAGAAGCCACCCTCACCCCACCCCCTCGGAAATTGTGTCCTTTTGGACCCCCTCCTCTCGGAATTCCCAGAATATTTTCAAGAACTACATACACAATTTATAACAACATGACGACAATAGCGAGAACGAAAGAAAAAAGAAACAAAGAAAAAAAATGCAAGATAAAACTAAATAGCTAGCTAGTGAAAGATTAACATGAAGAAATTATTTGTTAAAAAAATAACAATAATTAAATAAAAATAAAAAAGATTTTTCCTAATGTACATCTGACTTGATTTGATACAAGGTGCCTACACGCTCAGAACTCACCTTTTCCACTAGCTTAGACACTTATGACTAGCCAATCACTCCCCTCGAGCTCCGCAATTAGCTTTACAATTATGAATCAGAGAACCCTGAGTAGCGGGCGTCAAATGGGGTAGGTGATTGGGAGAAAGGGAAAGGGGGAGGGGGATTGGGGAGAGAGGATCCCTCTCCCTTTTTACCTTTCGCGTTTTTCTCCCTCTTCCTCTCCCCTTTTTGTGCCTACCAGGCAGGCTACAGTCAGAGCATTGCCAGCTGGGAATATCTGTGTTTCTTCTGCGTGGATCTATTTGGAGGCTCTTTCGGAACAATTTCTCAACTTGCCATTTTTCAGTAAGAAGGCTGAAAAACGTGAAAGCTAAATTCACGCGAACTCTGAAGTTCAAAAGCAACAAACCTTGAAACACAGAAAGACACTAAACGGATCGAAATCGACCAGTCACAAATTACAATTCATAACCTTTTGAACCCGTTGAAGTAAACTTCTGTTTCCTAAGAGGTCCGCTAAGAAGCGCCGAGCCTTCAGATTTTGATTGGCGTCACACATAAGCCCGTTTCCTTAGACAAAAAATTGAGCATAAATATTGTACACCCTACAACACATAACACATTCGTGTTACACCGTTTAAAATTTTTAATTATGGTACAGTGCCCTTATTGACCCCGTTTTTTACCTCTAATGTAACTACTCTCCGCATGTTTAGCAGGACCGAAATCAAGATTTTCATACCCTGCTAATTATTAAGAGTAAAAGTCACTTGCATACGATCTCCGTTTTAAGGTGTGAGTGAATATGTGGTTACAGGTCAAAATTATATTCAGGTTAATGTTTTTTAACCTAGGTCGATTCCCAATTTCCTTTGTTTCCCAGCCCTGGTTATTCATGAATTGGGGCTGGGAGACAAAGGAAATTGAATCGACCTAGGTCAAAAATTTTAACCTGAACTAAATTTTGACCTGTAACAACTACGTGCTCGCCTCTCAGGATGACGCCGCAGCATGAACTTTATTGTCTCAATTAAGGAGCTGTCAGCATTTGGTGTCGTAGAACTAGTGCTTCGGAAACGGAATAAGATGGTGTTATGCTCATGTCTTTACAAAATCAAATTTACATTTAAAAGATCCATTATACTCATGGATTCATTAGACCAGATCTTTAGAATTGATGATCTGCGCGTGGCGTTGCGGACACATCGGAAAATAGTACTCCTATTGACCTGGAAAGCTCCTTAAATGATGGATAGGTGCAATGAGCAGGGTGACATATTTCTTCCTGCCTGACGCATCTCCCGCGCGTTACGTTAAGCGTTGCAAATATAAACCGTTGGACGGTAATTTTTGTTTCACTTTATTGGGTGGCAGCTCTCACCGTTTTAAAAAAAAAAAGCCCAGAGGCACTGAGGATTCATTTATGCTGGTTTAGAATTTGTGAATATATTTACCTTTGATCAAGGCTAACTCTGTGCAAATGAAGTCTTCAGTGTTTCTATTCAAAGGCCGCGACGAACTCAAAACTGGACTATTGGGACGACTACAGAGCAAATGAAAATTGACTAGTCAAGTCAATCTGAGGTCTCGTTGCAGAATTTCTGTTTCACTTTGTTTCTTTCTTCACTTTCACTTTAATTCTGCTTTTTTTGTATTATTGCTTTTACTTTTACATAGGGCCTATATTAACAACGACAGTGACAATGTTAAAAGGAAACCTAGCTAAATAAAAAAAAATTTAGGTACTAATCTATAATTTACAAATGAATCCATCAATCAATTACTGTAAATCTTCTATTAAGTACATGGGTAAACGGTTCATATCATTTCAAAAGGCCGGTGCCAACTATTTCTACTATCTTTTGATGAACAAATAGCAAAGGACATTATTAAATGCTGTAATCTCTATCGACTTATTTCATTCCACCCTTTTAGGATAATCCTATTATCTAGCCTTTAACGTTTTTGCTACTATCTACCGCTTGATTCTCGGAGGAGAAATAAACCGGATTGTTAAACTGTTGATTATCCAACAAATGTTTCCCTTTTTTATGTTTGTAGAACCACCAGGCTGCGGTACCAAAACCCAGGCCTACCAATAACAGCACGGTCACTGCTATACCTGCTTTGGCACCTGAGGACAAACCGCTGGCTGATTTCCCTGTGAAACAAGAAATAGATTCAATCGGTAAAATCAAGAATCACTCACCAAACAGAGGAGAAGCCTAAAACACTATTTTCTTATTACCTTTGGTATCGTTTCCAAGGAAAGACCTGGTGTACATGCTTTCATAAAACAATAAGTTTTGATTTTAACTTCTTTTGCGAGAAGAGAGTTCTGCTGATGTTTTTGGATCGAACAGTTAAAAGTATTAGTATAGGAATGCACTGTACAGTGACGGCTATGCGTTGACAAAGGGAGCAAGAACAAGTGACAGATACCTGGACAGATACTACGGTGTAGAAATATTAGAATTGCACAAATATTCTTTGCTAAAGTACATTATTTAATCGACTGGAAAAAAGTTGAAATATGGGTTGATTTCTGTCGTGAGAAAAATGCAACAAATCATGGATTGTGGAAAAACGTTGAGGTGAGCAATGTCAAGTTTGCGTTTTTGAGTTAATCAAACTGAGTTATCACTTTGTTAGCTATCGTCGGTATAAGCTGTATGCAGAACATATTCGCTGTGTAACATTCCCTTTATAATAAAGTCAGCATGCTTAACTAACGAGTGCTGTGCCATGACCGGTAATAAACATTCTTCCTCTTTTCGAAGCCTCTCGACAGCCATAAATTGCCGCTCAGATCGCGATTCGGGAATTTCCTGTACCGCTGCAACAGCGCTGTTCTATGGCAACGCTCAACAGCCCAAATTTGCAACTTACGCCGCCCAGCTCTTTCCCAGCTTTTGCGCGGCGCTTCTTGAATCCACAAAACTTATAAAAACACTACGTATCGATTGTAAATAACACTATGGTCAAATCACCTCCATCCACGCAAAAACGCAATACCTTTTCCATTCGCAACGCCTTCTGGTTACTGGGTTAATAATTGATAATGTTCATTTTTTGACGAAGAATTAAACTGGGCGTGCCTTAAGGTAGCCCAGTTAATTAAACTCATTTTCATACGAATGGTTGTGCAACAGGCATCGCTCTGATAGAGAGGTCTGTAGAAACTCATAAACCTAAATCTGGCGCGATATTTCAGCGTTAATTTAGGGTTCGTTTCTTTACTAAAATCCGAGATGGAATCAGAAATCCGGATCATTAGGATTTTTCGTTATGAAAAGAAACGATGTATCGAAAACAGGATTATTTTTCAGTCATTTCCATAGAAACGACCCACAATACCGACGGTATCCAGGAGAAAGAATAATACGCGTACGGCTGCGGATAATGTTACAAATTTGCTGATTGTATCCTGGACGGTTAGCTCAAGCAAGGATACTGCTTTAGACAGGCCAAGGGAAGATGAGTCTTGAAATAAGATATCTACGTGGAAAAGTAAACTATTGCAAGACGCGCAGTTGAAGTTGCTTTGCAGTTTTTCTCGATTTGTCCTTGTGAACTAGTAGAACAAAGCAGGTCCTACTTGTACTGCGATCTTACCATCCCAATAAAACGGATAAAATCGATCGTTTAATCTATGCCTCGAGTTCAAAAATAGTTGTAAAGATGAGCAATTTTGTCAAACAGCTGCTGTATGTATTGAAATTGTTTCAAGTTACCGTTGGCTGTATTCACTCTTTTCGGATCCGTAGTAAAGAAACACTTCGGATCATGTATCCAAAGTATCCGGTTTTTGATATGATCCAAAGAATCCACCTTCGTTGTGGATCATTTGGATCAATAATCCGTTTTTGGATTTTAGTAAAGAAACGAAATATCCGTTTTCGGATTAAAAACCCGAATTTGGATTCTAGTAAAGAAACGCACCCTCATAAATTCACGTGTAAATTACAAATAAAATTCTATGAAAACGTTCCGTCAGTGTTTTAAAATGTTATGAGTAAAGATAAAGGGCATTAAAAGCGCTTTAGAAACCCAAACACAGGAAAGAGCACATCAAAAAAGATTCTAATGGGTAGCTTGTCGAAAGTGTCAGGCAATTGTGAACTCAGGAAAAAATATATGCCCGGAGGTGTTTATTCGGCGTGGAGTTCTCGATTCAATAAACACACCAAAACCCATGATTGTGAACTTAATTTGTCACCGAAGAAAAAATGTAAACAAATAAAATACTCGTGAAACTAGGGAATAATTACACTTGCTTTTTGTCCAAATTTTAATAAATTCCCGAGCCTACTTTTCGGTGTTTCAATCAATTGCCTGATCACTTAACATAGTCATCACTACAAATGTATCATCGCTACACTTAGCGTTCGCTCTCACAGGGCATCTAATAATAAAATTATTTCCCGCTAAAATCCTGAGAGGGTAAAAACGCAAAACCTAGAACAGCACAATGCACCGTATGAATGTTGACGGCGCACTGAAGGCTGGTTTTTACTAGCGACGGAGTCGGAGTCGGAGTCGTAATCAGAAGCCTAGAACTTAACGATCATGTGCATTGAAAACAGCGATCTGATTCCGCCGATCGTCGTTTACGATCAAGTGAAAACTAGGCTGTGGAAGTCGCAAACAGAAGCAGAAGAACTGAGCCAATCACAAAGCATGGGGATCGGAACATTGCAATTGGTTTATCCTTCCGTTTCTGGTTCCTACTCAAACAATCTGGTTTTCAATACATCGTAAACGACGGAGCCATAAGCGGAGTCGGGAGGAACTAAAAACGTTCTGATTCTTCGATTCCCATTCCGTCACACTTATGATTCCGCTTACGACCCCGATTTTTGATTTTCACCGGGTCATAAGAGCTCTCACGAATACGCTTACGATCTCGACTCCGACTTCGACGGTAGTGAAAATCAACATTAAGATAAAATGCGCTTAAAGATGCATACAATGTGCGATTGTCATTTTCCCTTTTCTTGTTCTAGTTCTTGTTCTTTTTTCTCTTAACTCTACTCGAGAATTAGAAGGAATTTCTCCTATATAGAATGATAACCACAATAAATAATAATACCAATGATGATAATAAATAATAATAATGAAAAGGAGAGTACCTACCCCCAGTGCGCGCTGCAGCTGTCACGTGGTTCCCTGTATTTCCATTCCCAGCTGAAAAAGGAAATAAAAACAGAAATATGATTGTTTTAAAATAAATATATGTACAGAAGAACAAACCAAATTCAACAACAACAACAACAACAAACAACAAACAAACAAACAAACAAAAAAAGGACTAATCTTGACAACATCGGGTCAGGGGCGGCTCGATGAAATGTTCTCTAACAGTTTTACGAATAATAGTTTTTCTTCTTTCTCGGTTAAAGATGGATGGATGGGTAAGAGGCGAAAAATCACTATCATTACTCCCTAACTAAATTAAACGAAGGTAATGAGCAGTGGGAATCAGCAACTGTTTGTTATATGGCTCAAGCAGGGATTAATTAAATAAAAGTTTCACAACAGTAATTCATGTGTGTCTGCTGTTTTCGAGTTTGGAACAACAGCTACATTTGTAACCAAAATTTGAAACAGTTTTAAACTGCTTATTTACAGCGTTGGTTACAACATCTGCAGATAATGCTTTGTCAAAAAAAATAAATAAATAAATAAATAATAACTAAATAAATAATAAAAAAATTTCTCTACCCACCAGACTGTGTTATTGTAAGTGAATTTGGATCAACAGCTAGTCCGCCTAGGCTTCCACTTTGAACGGCCTTCACCAGGTTACGGGTGACGTTTGCACCAAGCTCATCAGCAATATCACGTGTAAACGTCAAATTGAACAGCACTATAATGCTTCCACGTCTGAAGTGGAAAAATAAAATACAATGAATAAATAAATAAATAAATAAATAAATAAATAAATAAATTACTGGGGACCCTCCCCTTCCTGGCTCACTCCCACCCCCAATTTAAAACTTACCTTCCCTAAGTCCTTTGGACTTGTGTTTGGTGAATGCTTTAAAAGTTGCAACATTTTATCGAACGAATAAAACCTATACATGCATAACGTTGAAACTTTGCTTGAGATTAGTTTTGCAGAAAACTGTTCAACTTTCAGCGAAAGCCAAAGAACATATGACAAAATCATCGTTCTTTTAAATACATGTGAAGTGTTACAACAGATATTTTAACATTCAAGGCTTAAGCATTATATTAAAAATCTACAAGCATACCTAAATCCTGTAACCATGGCATTGGAAAATGCTAGAGATGCTTTATCTACGCCAGAGTACACTTCTCTTATCTGACGAAGCACAAAATGGCATTTATTAAATTTATTAAATAAAAGAGCTCCACATTCTTATATTCAAAGCTGACCTGAAATTTAAAGTTTAGTATCCCAGGTCACTTTTCTGCATGCAAACCCAAAACATGCACTAGCTTATAAGGTCGAAAGTTAAGTAGATTAATTTTAAATAAAAACGATTCGCTATAAGGTTTTGCGGTTTCAATTGAAAAACAAAAAGGAACAATTCAAGGCTCGTTCAAAAACACGTCTAGTGGCTTACTTCTTTCGAGAGGCTTGGCTGTCAAGAAATTCAAACTTACAACACGGTTTTTTTATGCGTTCAGTTTTCGACGTTCGAAACGAAATTGCATTCATACCGACTTCTCCACTTTTGAAGCAAGAACCTTGTAGGCGTCGCTGTTTGGATTCTTGTAGTCATCTGTCCATTCCTCTTGAGACAGCTTCACAGATCCTGCGTAGGCTACATCTAAAAAACAAACGGTTTTTCAGTTCCGAATTTTTAAGTCCAAGATGGCATTAGTACAGCCTCCCACGTATACGTTTTTTGAGTTTTGTCACGTGCTTCTTCCGTTACATTAGGTGTTCTAAGATTGAATTGAACTTGCACATTTCTATTTTTTTTTTCAGGGTCAGTGATAGCCCGTGCCACCTCACCCTCTCTTCCCAGCACTCGTGCGGCTTCTCGCACTTTTATTTTCGTGATCCGTTCTTCCCACTGTCTTGGGGCCTGCAACAGCCTGGGTCAGTAACAAGCTCCCATTTGTAAAAACACTTGTTAAGTCGAACGACCCGTTATGATCGTTCCCCTAAAATAGAACTTGCCGTGAAATTGTGGTCAAACTTTCCCAATGAGTTGTTTATGTTTGTGTAAAAACTTGAAACTTGAAACAAAAACGGGGTTATTTCCATAATCGTCAAGGGGCAGCACCAACTTGTATATCTAGGCGGTGATTCCTTAAAAAAGATACATGCTTTGAACAGGTTTGCGATGATTGTTTCTTTTCCTGCATTTTTCTGTACCAGAAAATAGTCTACACATAATTATATTCGGGTGAAATAGAGTTTTACTTCTCCGGGGACCTCCATTCTTAAGGCGATTAATTGATCGTTTTAATAATTATAGTATAGGCCTTTAACGGAATATTCAATTTTCTTACTTTTCGGGGGAGGTTGGGTTTCTGTTGCGGGTCGACTGCTAGGAGTAGGCGTCGGATGAGGGTCTGAAAGTAATAAAACATCAGTAAACTTCTAAGAGAATAAACAATGTCACGCCCGATGCGATGTAAAGCTAAAACACAGAAGGGAGACGAAGAAAAGTTTATGTGCGTTATAATTTGGCTCAAAGCATTTCAAAGGAACGAACGATAAAGTGTCTACATGCAATCAACTATAATTAACAGTTATGTGTACATCGTGGCGTCAAGACAGATCTCGAAACCTATGTTCGGCTAAATGTCGAACGCTCTAACCAGCGAGGTAGGTATTGAATCATGTGTCTGCCATAAAATAATATCCCGCTGATCCTAGCAGTTTTCTGGCCCTTGAAACATGAGAGTTTACTGGATAGTGACGGACCAGTTACTGAGTGTGAAGTGAAGAGTTATCTTCGAAGACTAACTATCTAGGCATGAGTAAATAGAGTCAACTCTCGCTCTACAGATACCCTACTCCTGCAAATAAAAGTCACTTTCATCTAAAAGGTCTTGCACTTAGCCTCCTTTTGAAAGTGAGAATTTTTGCAACGCGGAAATGGCCAATTTTCGGACACAGAGGGGCATCAATCAACATTCAGGCACAAAAGCAACAGTATTGACAATATTTTATCCGTATTTCGTCATCAGTTTTGTATTAATGGCTGGATTTATAATTATTCTTTTGCCCACAAATCGAGCTTTCTAACGAAGATTCTTTTTCCCACCTCGCAATTATGGACTTTCGCAAACTTGCGGTTCTGAGGGACCGTCTGCAAAGGCGAGAGAAGACTGTAATAAAAAGCCTTATTTTCTTTTTCTGACTAAAACTGACTTTACTCACCAGTTCTACAGCCAAATAATTCCAAGCGTAGGCATGGACGAATGTTCCAAGTGACGGCTTTGATTTTAATATAACGCCCAAGTAATGTGGGAAATTCAAATAATGTTGATACCACCGATGTGCTATCGATGTTTGCAAAAAATACCTAACAAAGTCAAGAAAATTAGAAATTTTAATGGCTCGACTCAAGTGAATCTTTAAAGGGGTATGCTTTTTCGTTTGAGTTATTTGGGTCAGAGTTGAGAGATAATTAAAACCAACCATCTTAACTTTCCTTATGTCACATCAAGAACATTTTAGTAAAAGATAGAAAGAAATAAAGCGATTCTCCAAGAGCGAAAAACAAAGAACAAGCAGCATCGTTAGTTGAACTTCAATATATGTTTCCTAGTAAGACAAACTTAAGAAACGCACTTGTAGTTAAGGTGGAGAAGTAGGTTCATTTTAGGTAAAACTGGACCATAAAAAATAACAAACATGACAATGATTAAAATAATGAAAATGGTAATTAACAATTGTAGAATGAGGCTGAGTATGATCTGAAGAATTAGGGAGATGTATGAGAGTATTATCGGCCGAGGTGGATAACAGTCTCCGAGATCATTATAATTCTTCAGCATGCGAAAGCCGATATAAAAAATGGATTTATTATTCATCCATAATTGTTTTTAAGTTCTTAACAAGCAGAGCCTCCACGTAGCATTTCTTCAAGACTTTAGTCTGTTTCTCGGCACGGTTGCAGGATATAAACAGGTTTTTTATTTTTTTTTGCAAAAAAGCCTGAAAAATGAAAAATTTATCGAACAACGTGTTTTGCGCACAGTAAATCCTCTATTAACCCCCCTTTCTAAAAAGCCCTCCCTTTTCCGGGACAGAAAGTTACCCCCCCCCCCCTTATCGTTCTTCACTAATAAATGTTAGACTGTATTATTAATCAATCACGACTGTAAACTTCGTGTGGACTGTTGATCCGGGATGGTTTGTTCACCATCCGGAAGTTCAGATTTGTTTCTGATCCTCAGCTGCATGATCTCCAATTTCTTGTACTTGAGCTTTTCAACTTCGTATTATAGTTCTTAATGGAGAACTAATACCACCGTCTTTGCTAAATTAAATAACCCCACCCCTCCCCCCCTCCCCCCCCCCCCTCTGGAATAAGCTCCCTACCTCTATTAACTCACCCCTCTCTTCAAATAACACACCCGGGGGCTTGATAGATGATTTACGGTATTCTTGCAGTATTAGTCAGAATCTCCGCTTTTTCGTCCTCTGATAATAGCTGTGAACGTCATTTCTTTTAGTTCACTCGTTAATAAACAACTCAGAAACCGCGCCTGGAAACGAGGTTGGCAGCTTCTTTTAACAAATTTACCTTAATCTTGTTATCTTGGGAAAATGGCCTCCATGAAAGATTTGCATCATCTCGCGTGCTTATGGTGTAGGATTTTATAAACCCTTTACCATCCTTAGCGCCCTGCATGGAAACCTTACGGATCTTCATTCTTGTTGTTAAATCAACCTTTAGAAACAGCGAATGAAACAAAACATAAGAGATAAAAGATTGTGTTTCAGGGAGTGCAATTTAAAAACAACAACAACGTTAACAACAACAACAACAACAACAAAGCGAAAAAAATATTATGCAAGGTTATAACACCCATTTCTCGAACGTTCCCAGTTAATTTTTGATTGCACTAAGCTATTCCAAAAATTCACGTCAGTTTAGCATATTATAGAGAAGTCGCTTACGTCACGTTGCCATGGTAGCATAATTTCTGGATGACAACAAACCGAAAATTCACTTAAAAAGTAAATTCGCACAGTTTCAAATTTAAACGATCTTATTCAATTTGATTTAATTTGTTAAATGTTGGTGAAATTTCTTGGTTGAATACCAAAGGAAGGTATCTAAGTTTACAAAAAGGAAGAGGAAATTTTTGTGTTGACTTCACCTACACCAGAAAGCGGGCGCGTGAAATTAGGAGGGTTCATGTAGCAGTAGTGAAACGACAGCTAAGAAATGTACAAAAAAATGTGTGCTGAACGTGCAAAGTCGTCGTTTTGCTAATCTTAACCTGATGCTTTTTTGCCATCGTCGTTGCTTAAGCTCCCTTTTGTTGTCATCCAAAAAATTGCTACCATAGTAACGTTACGTCACACTTCTCGTCTCTATTAAAGAAGAGGAAAGTGAACGACCACAGGAAAGGAGAAAAATGATAATGAGATCAAAACAGAGAATGCAGAAATATTAGGCAATTACTGATACAGCTAAATTTAAGCTCTTTTTTGTTGTATTTATTGTTCTTAACTTTAGTCATCTGCTATCCAAACACCCTTTTCTGACCTTCAGGTTGGTATCATCTCAAAAACCTTGCTCCACCTACCACAAAGAAGGCATTCTTGTCACTATCAGATGCACACCATCCAGCGCTCCCATTCAAACGGCCTTGATTGGCCGCGTGAGACTGGTCCAGTGATGAACTTGCTGATATTGCCGAGTCTCTAATGATTCCTTGTCTTAAACCTAAAGCAGTGTCACAACCTGAAAGCAGATTAAGATCAAACGACGGTCACGCGTGACACTTCTTTTTGGGGCTATTTCAGAGATTTAGTGGGTTGTGTCTATTTTCATTATATTTAACATAAAGGTGCATCACAGTTTATTAGATCGATGATTTTTTGTTCGTCTACTACTTTTTTTCTTTAAATCCCAAATGTCAAACTTCCAGCGGCAGCTGAAGTCAATAAACGGTACTCACCATCTTCGCAACCAAAGAGTTCCAGACGTAAACAAGCGCCGACCGGTGACCAGCGCTGTGGCTTTACACGTATGGTGCGAGTTATGATAGGTTCCGCTAGACGGTGGGTCATTGGATTCGTGGAATCTTGGTTGCCGCGGAAATTCTGTAATGCGAATTGAAGGTTTAAGTCCTTTGAAGTATTAACGGTAACAACTGTAGACTTTTTCAAAAAACAAACCAGGTTGACGTTTTAGATGTTATCCAAACTTGAACTAGCTGATTACGCTTGATTTGTCACTTGAAAGGTTCATTTGATTTTGCTCATTTGTGTTTTCGACATAACCCCTTTAAAAAAGGAACGGTGAAAGAATAGGAACAATTGGCTTCCATGATCAAGCTTGAATACGATTGCTAGAAACTGTACGATCCAAACTCCAAGTCAAGACTGTCACAGTTTCATGGGGTTTCACCTTGATAGGTGACCCCTGAAGGGAGATAGTCACCCATAACGGTTCGACTGTATGTATAGATTTTCTTCGGCATTTGGGCAATTTTTCTAAGGTCCAGGCTACAAACATCCTATTTTCGTCATAATAGTTTTATCAGGTGGTGGCTTCCTTGTAGATCGTTGGTGTCCACTGTTGCCTGGCAACAAAACCGCCACACACAAACAAAAACACAAAAACAAAAACAAAAAACTTGGCCCGGTTGTTTTTGCCGCTGCCTTTCAGTAGCTCAGAAGAAATGTTCTTAAAGATATTTTTCTACGTGCTTGCGAACTTTACGAAATTTTACTAGATATGCTGATATGCTCGGCTTTAAGCATGTAAGAAAAAACATGTAAATAAATGAAACGAGGGTGACAGCATAGGAACCCGTTTAATATTTACGTCTGGTTACTTATCCAGTCCCTATTTACGCCCGTGAGGAAATAACTTGGGTGGTGATAATTATGCCAATTTTCGCGAGCTTAGACACGCATTTCTTGTAACAAACTGGGCCTCTCACCCTAATTTTGCCTCCCTCTGTGTAGTCTGACCAGAGAGTGACGTCAGCCACATCTGTAAACGCCAATCGATAGACAGTGACGTAGCCTGTTCCTTTCCCTCCTCCCCAGGTGGCAATTTTTGTTATTTTTCTTTCCACGTCAGGGAATGAAATCTGGATCCAGGGTTGAGCATCCGAGAACTAAGAGTAAAACAAGAAAATAACATTAAAAAGAAAAAATATATATGTACATATTCAAAGCAAACCAAAACCAAAACAAACAAACAAAAAATCAAAATAAAACAGAACACAACATAACAACAAAGACGAAAATAAACAAACAAGCCAGGAAACACTGATGTATTTACGTCACAGATTAAGTAAATTCATTATTGTGAAAGGTTTGAACCCAGGAGTCATTTCAAAAGTAGGTCGAGTTTGATCGTCCAGGTGAACGTAGTCCTGAATAGGACTGTTGTTGTTGACACGATAGTGATCTTCAGAGTCAAAGTGAGTTGTATCACGTCAGTTGATGGTATTATACTCTGGTTATTGATCTGATTTGGTCAATTACGTCGCGATTTTTTCTAATTTAGTAAACCAGCTTTCTAAAGTAAGACGTTGATAGTAGTCTGTAGAATACGTTATATATGTCGCAGAGTCCCAGTCAATTTGATGTTTCGTCTTTAAATGATGCTCAGCAATGTGATTGTTAACGTCACCATTCCTCGTCGCTCATTTGGGTTCGGTCAGTCGCGTTCTTAGGTTTCTGCCGGTTCCACCAATGTAAAAAAGCCTGGCAGTCGCAGCATTTGATCTTGTATAGTGCTCCCTGTCTGTCCACCGGTTTGACTTTGTCCTTGACATTAGTAAGCAGTCGCCGTAAAGTGGTTATCGTTTTGTGTGCAACATGTATATTGTAAGGTTGTAATATACCTGCAGTAGTTTCAGAGGAGCCTCTGATGTACGGTATAGTCACTGTCGTAACAGGGCCAGAGTTGGTCTGAGTGATGGAATCAGTGTTACTGTGAGTGTTCCGTCTAACAAAGTCCGTGTTGTAATTGTTCTTACTAAAAATATTGTTAAGATAACCAGTCTCGTCTTGTAGGCTGTCAGGTGAGTCGCAAACTAGTTGCGCTCGTCTCGTCAGAGTCCGGATAGTAGTAGCCTTGTGAGAGGTCGGGTTTTACGAAGACTGGTCTAGTAATCGGTCGGTATGTGTCGGTTTGCTGTAAATAGTCGTTTTTATTTTGTTGTTGTCGCCAGTGACCAAGCAGTCTAGAAAAGGTATCTTACCATTTTCTTCGATCTCCTTGGTGAACTGTACATCCGTGTTCTGTCTGTTAAGGTGATCGTGAAAGTCGTCGATTCCGCCTTTGTGTACGGCGGTGAATGTGTCGTCAACGTAACGTAACCAAAGACGCACAGTTCGCGTGTGGGTAGCTAGGGCTTGTTCCTCGACGTTTTGCATGACAATTTCTGCTACAACAACAGAAACTGGAGACCCCATATCTGCACCGTGTAACTGTTTGTAGTGTTTGCCGTTGTACTGAAAGTACGTCGAAGTCAAACAGAGGTTGAGTAGGTCCATAATGTCGTCTGTAGGTAGTGGTAGTTCAACAGTAGAGTTCTTGATAGCGTTCTCAGTACAGTCTAGAGCCAGTTGAAGTGGAATACTGGTGAACAGCGATTTCACGTCAAAGGACACTAGTTTGTAGTCGTCCGGTATCTGTGTTGTCTTAATGGCGTCAATAAAGTTCTCAGTAGACTGTGGTTTGTGTCTAGATTCGTCAGTGAGCGGTTTCAGTACGTTAGTTAAGTATCTAGACAGTTGGTAGGTTGGGGACCCACAGAAAGAAACTATGGGCCGCATAGGCATGTTGGGTTTGTGTAGTTTTGGTAGTCCATACAGCTTGGGTGGCTGCGGAACACTACAACTCAGTCTGTTGTAGCGTCGAAAGTCGATCGTGTCGGTTTTCTTCAGTGTAAGCAGTTTGTTGTTAAGTTTGCGTTGCAGTGCGGGCACCGGGTCTCGTTTAAGTACTTCGTAGGTCTGTTAGTCGTTAACAAGCGAGTCCATTTTGTCGTTGTAGTCTGTCTTGTCCATAACAACAGTCACCCGTCCCTGGTCTGCGGGCAGTATGACTATGTTATCGTCTGTTTTCAGTCGCTTAAGTGCTTTCTGTTCGTCAGGAGTCAAGTTACTGTTCTGTAATGAGGCTGATTGTAAAATAGAGATCACTCTACTTCTGATGTTATCCTTGGTCGATTCTGATAGCTCGTGTTGGCGAGACAGAACAGCCTCAACGCTAGATACAATAGCCTCAGTAAGCATTTGTTTAGGTGTCACTGAGTGTTTAAGTTTGCTTGTTTGTTAAGAAAGTACTTGTGTTTCAGTCTCGTCTAAGGGACGGGAAGAAATATTGTTATATTCTTGAAAATATTCTTGAAAATTTCTTACTTTAGAAAGCTAGTTTACTAACTTAGAACAAACGCCACTCAATCGTTACCAACAGTTACTAGCGCCGCACAAACGACTTATTGACGAGATCAAGTAAAACTAACTACGAGAGAACGACTGGAGAACTGACAATTTGACTAACAATAGACGACTGTTTAACTGTGATAATAGACAGATCGAAACGCACCAATTACTGATTACGAGTCCTCATAGCCAATAACATCACTGCTTAACTGACAGACGACCAATAACATCGCGACGTAATTGACCAATCAGATCAATAACCAGAGTATACTAGGGTATCTAAAAGATAGTAATGCTGCGGCACATTCTGTTGATACTGGCATTAGTTAGGCAGTGAGAGTTAAAAGAATAAAAAATGACATTGAATTTCCTATTTACATGTTGGAAAGTACTAGAATAATTACTATCAGTCTATAGAAAGAACTGGTGGGAACGTTGTTTAGAAAATGATCAAGTGGTTATCAACTCTGGTTTTCCCACAGTAAATTGTAGGAAATAATAGAAATTCAGATCGTTTATCCAAATATTTAATATACGGTGCACGATATTTTCTCTGGAAAGACAATACTTTTCTTGCTGTTTGTTGCACTTTATTAAGTAACAGTTATTTAGCTATATATTTATAGAAAACAACAACACAAAAAACGGAAAAAAGAAAGAAAGAAGGAATGATTAATTCAGTAGGACTCGAACCCGGCACCTTCGACTACACGCGACTACACCTAACCACTACACCACAGAGGCTAAATGCGTAGTCTTTAGGAAAAGTCTTTCATTTTATTCCTTTTCCATGAAACTTCCGCCGGCAAGATGATCGCCAGCCGCATTAACCGAACTATTAACAGTGAAAAAACAATGTAAACGCATATTCCATGGCAATAAATAAATGAAAGAACATAATTATGCTTTTCAAAACGCCGATACACGTCCTCGTCTGCAAAGTAGGACAAAAAACATATGTTCTGTTATCTCGATTTCCGCTGTTATTTTGAAGCCAATGGTCAAAATCACATCCATTTTCGGCTCATACAGTTTCTTACGAATAGCATTACATGACATTTTCTCACTTTCACATCACCTTCTAGCAAGCTGGAATTTGTATATCCCCCGTGTTGCGGAGTCGAAGAGCAAATGCTCATCTTCTCGTCAGGTACTTTAACACCTGGACGAGTCAAAGGCTCTTGAATTGAAATCCAATCCCCAAGTTAACCATCGTACTCATCTGAAAGACTCCTGCGTGTCTTAAAATTTGGTAAGACCTCTAGCCGTGCTGTAGAAAATTTGCCACAAAGAAAACTCTAAGTCCGAGCAGCGAACGATGCACTCTTTCACCCACCGAACTTCCCCGTGTTTCGTGGCGCAATGCACTCTGGTTAAATGCAATGCATTGTGATAAAAAGTGTGGTTAAATGCAATGCATTGTGGTAAAAAGTGATGAATTCTAGAATTCGTCGCCCCTTATATATTTCCTTTAAATCCTGATTATGTTCCCTTCGGTCGCTCCGCAGCAAATACCATCAACTGACGTGATACAACTCACTTTGACTCTGAAGATGACTACTGCCCAGGTTGTCGAAACGTCAGTCACTGTCGACAACAACAGTCCTATTCAGGACTACGTTCTCAACCTACTTTTGAAATTTGCTTTTGTTGATTTATAAGTAAAAACCCTTCGTAAAAAGTGTTCAGGAAAAGTCCAAAAAGAATAAGTTATGCAAATGACCATTAATGCTTTTATGTGACGAGACAAAACTTTGTCTAGTATTGTTAAATTTAGTGAATCCAATAGTATTACAGAGTAAGTTCGCGCTTCAGTCGGCTTGGGTGTGTTAACTGTCAACTTTAAACAGTTGTAGAATGGAGAAGGAAGTATTAAGGTACTAGAATATCACCACTCTCTACCTTTGCACACCATCCCGTACTTTGGGACGGGCGAGCATTAGTGACCATGTGTGAGCTGTCATTGTAAGATGATGCCGATAGCGAGGCATCCTTGACTGCACCCGACTGCAATCCAAGCGGCGTCTCACAAGCTGGAAAAAACAGAAATCTAACATGAAAACAAAATAATAGAAAAAAAGCCAAAAACAAACAATCAAATAAACAAACAAACAAACAAAAGACAGATCCACTCTTAGAATAGGTAGTTAGTGTCCACAAGTAGATTACACTGAACTAAATATAAGCAAGAGATTTTGACGCCTTAATAATAATAGTAGTAATAATGATGATGATGATGATGATGATGATGATGATGAGGAGGAGGAGGAGGGTGTTGATAATAACGAGAATGATATTGATCATGATAAGAATAAGAAGAAGACTTTAGTAATCGGTCAAAACGCCTGGCAATTATTTACTATTAAAAATCCCATTCGTATAGCACGTGCAACATACCGTACGGACAACCATAAAACTCCATTCGTATGCAGAGGGAGCCGGTCCAAGAGACTGGCACTATCCTTATCAAGCGCGTGTCCACTGGAGGCTTTATAGCAGAAGCGACGACTGAATTCGCATCACGGTTTGCCGTGAAAACCTAGAGAAAGGCAACAGTTCACAATACAATAAAGGGGCTATCGCGTTTCTTTCTTTTCTTTTTTTTTTTGGTTAACGGAGAAAAAAAAAAGAAGAACAAAAGAAAAAAAACAACAAAGGAAAACAATAAAAACGAAACAAAAACAATAAAGCAACGACAACAACGACAAAATGGACCGTTTTGTTTTACGGTTCCAAAGACATGTCAAGTGCTGTCATTTGAATTTCAATGTATCTTCGTGGATAATCGGAGGGAAGAAAAATATCTAATTCGCCATTCATTTAGTCTTCTACTTAGCCGTTTTTAGTGTCGTCACGCAACGCTTCTGTCCATCAGGGGGAGCGTTGCGTGACGACAATAAAAGTGGCTGTGTACTAGACTACCATACATTTGGATTGTACAGCGTTTCTTAGGTTGAATGCGAGGTCCGTGGAATCATCGATGCCTTCTTACCCAGTCTTTCCCGTTTTTCTTGTATGACTTAAAAATTACGCCATCTTCGCTAGTCTGGATCGTAAAGGTCCTTATATAGCTAGCAACTCCAAAAAAAATGAAGCCCTGTGTGGATATTTTGGTGAGACGGGTCTCTGTTAACAGATCAACCTGAAAAAGAACATGGTACGGTCTTAGATTATTTATTTATTTATTAATTTATCTATGCATGTATGCATGTATGTATGTATTTACTTATTCTCATTTCATTTTGTTTTATACATGATGGTTGTACGAAGACTTTCCATCTTTCTCATCAAATTCCTTCACTTTGGTGAAGGTGCCTCTTGCACGGATTCTGTGTAATCACAAATCTTTTTGCTGAAATTGGCATACAGTGTGTATAGACAACTCATCCATACCAACAACAAAGCAATTAGTGGAGTGCCTGTTCTCTGACAGTAGTATCATCAAGTTTTAGCGAGGAACGAGCGCAGAAATTCCATACTGATGACAAATCACTTCCCAGATCTGGGTAGTGCTTCTGACTGGTTCAAGCAAAAATCAATAATCGCGGCACGACCAATCAGAAGCACTACCCAGATCTGGTGTCGCCGCGAAATGTAGGTTGTTTTATCAGGCTAATACACATACTGATTGTATATGAAATCTGTTTAAACGAGATGTTTGCTAAAAGGTTAGTAGCAAAGAAGTGGACGTAAAAAGGTTCTTTGCAATGATACTATCTTTGAATATGCTGCTGACAGGACCAGCGTATTTCCTAGATTGCATTGATTAATCGATCGATTGTTTGAGAAAACGAATCCTTTAGTCGTTGCCAAAACCAGTGCTAAAAAAAAGGATATTAAATTTCGCGATTAAAGCGTTCTCAACCTGATTTTATTTTTCAAACGTTTGCTCTGTTTTTTTTTTTCTTTTTTTTTTAAATAGCGAGATAAAATGGAACAAGCAAACACATATCAACGTAGTTGTTTCACAACAAAAGACACAGTCAAGGAATGGAACTTACCATGCAATTAAAGCAACTAATAATTTGTCGGTATTTGCCATCAAATATATCCTGTACAGTATATGTTAGCCACGTCATTCATTTCTCACTGGGATTTCAATTTTCTTTATAAGTATTAAACTCAGTCGCGTGCTTAAATTCCGCGATTTTTTTTTTTTTTCCGCAGGTCTTTAATTTCCCGATTTTCCCACAATCTGTTCCACTTATCAAAAAAAAAAAAAAAAAAGAAAGAAAGAAAAGAAAACGTAGTTTTCATGCTATGAAGTAGACGGATCCTGGAATCCTAGGCCGTTAGATTGCCCACCTGGATAAACGGTTCGGCCTGAGGATTACCAGCGCACCAAGCTGTGGAGGACTGTAATCGGGCCATTCCAGGACTATATTGAGCAGATAAACTGGAACTAGCTGTGACTTGATTAACCTTTATTCGACCGCTGACCATTCCCTGGGCTGTAGAACATTCTAATACAAGAGCAAAACAGTTTGAGTAAGACTAGTTTGGAGGCTAGTCTCAGTGGTCGTTGTTTAGTAGAGGGTACATGTATTTCAACTCTTTGCCCCGGGTTTTAAACGCTTGAAATACTATTCTTTGCTGTTCTGTGGTGTTCCTTATACGGAAGTTCCAGTTACAAAACAATGCAGGAGTTGAGGGCCGAGAGAAAACAAAAATCTTGTTCGTTATAAGGAGACCATTACACAGAATGGCCGATGTGTTTCGATGGGTTTCAGTTAGGGAGGCTTGTCTGTATTGTAAAATACAACGCATGCAAATGTCTTAAGAAATGATTTTTTTTTCGATCTGCACACGAGGGTAATGTGGGATGATTTGACACCTTTACGCGTGACAACTAAAGAGCTCAGCTGTAACAGTGTTTGGGGCTACGACCCTTTTTGACATCCCTACAACGAGAATTGTAAATTTTGCAATTTGTTTACCCACGAAGCACTTAGGAGTTTTTAAGATGTCGTTGAACCGTGTCCGTGCGTTCCAGATGAATTGTGGAGTGTTGGTTTTTAGGGAGCGGGGAAAACCGGAGCACCCGGAGAAAAACCTCTCGTAGCAAGGCAGAGAGCCAACAACACACTCAACCCACATATGGCGTGGACGCCAGGATTCGAACCCGGGCCACATTGGTGGAAGGCGAGTACTCTCACCCTTGCTCTCTGAAACAGAAAACGAAGGCCGGTACTCTCAATAAAAACATGGGCCTTTTCTTACCTAGCGGTTGTTTGCAGATATAGCCTCTTGCTTCGATGCACCTTAGATCATTCCACTGGAAGCTGTTCTGATACATTTCAATACAGTTCTCATAGAAGTTGTTACTAGGCTCGCTGGAATGCCAGTTAATGAAAGTCACTGGACTTCCATCGCTCCAAGTGTATCCTCGTTCCATTGCGCGGTCATTCAGGCCTAGATAAAAGAGATAGGTATGGAGGTGTAAGACATGCAAAATAACAAATAGCAGTAAGACCTCAAGACCACAGTGACAAGCCATCGAGCGGTGCCGGATCCCTCAGTCGTAGACCTGTGGAAAGTAGGGAGAGCGTTTTCATCGCTTCGCTTCAAGGCAAAGTACATTGTAAAAAATGGGGCAAATTTGTTGGAAATATATTTCCTTTACGTGTTCTTTGCTTTGTCGTCAGGATCAGTAAGCCTTTTATATATGTTGTAAGACATGCATCTAGTATTTAACCCTTAGCCTCTAGAATCGTCGAGTTTATAGCCACCTTTGTTTGTAACGGGAAGAGAGTTAGTTTGTTTGCAGAGAGTTTATCTGCGAGAAAATTCTCGACCGTTAGATTCGACTTGACGAACAGGAGTGCGGAGCGGGGTGACGGGTGGGGGTAGGTGGAGTAAAAGGGAATGAGTAACCTAGATAACATCTCTCCTAATATAACATCCCTACCCTCTCTCCACAACCACATCAGAACCACAACTGAAAAGAATCGCGAATCCGCTGAACTCGTGCTGGTTACTTTGTAGCCACAGAATACACAAATTAGACAAGCGTGGGGTCGATTTCATCCCCTCTTACGAGTCTAGTGTTTGAATCCGGACTTATTTTACCGAACAGCAGCAGGTAATCGGACCTAAACTGTAACACTGTATAGAGCATGTGCGCCGCGGCCATATGGGAGGGGTATAAAACAATAAAACGATTATCCTTTGGAGAAAAAAAACATTTTCATTCAAATATTATTTCAATTGTTTACTCCTCCAACATTGCCACCTCGCACCAGACTCCATAATTACATAGTGATTCTATATTGTTTATTTTTAGTTCCCTTACTTTTCCTCCTACTCAGTGTTAGGACAATTGGGTAAAAGGTCCTTACTAATGATTCCTTTCACGTTAAATAATACAGGGAAACATGCTGGATACAAACCAATCCATAGGTTGCCAAATGCTAACTTGTTTTGGTAGTGATAAGCGATGAAATCTTGCTCGTGGCGGGATGTGATGCTCACTAAATCGCTTCCTTGTCTTTGACAAGCCGCTCTCGCCGCAGTCCAGGGTAGCTTATTACTTTCTTTAAACTGGTAACAATTCTTTTCAAATTTTTCCCATCCAGTAGGACAGCTCCCAAGCACTTAGAAACCAACACAAAACATATCAGTATCAGTGAATTACGCCCGGTTCAGACGCCGAACTTTTCATGAGCCGGACATAATTCGAATTAAGGCCGACCCAAACTATTTAGACCGTCTCAATTGATTTAGACGCTGATCTTTATTCCAGCCGAACTAAATTCAAAAGGAGAAAAATGTTCATTTTGGTCAAACTACTTGCAAAATACGTTCAAATACTGAATCAAAGCCGTCCCAAAGTCGTTCCAAAGTGGAAATTCCCTGCTGGGCTAGGGGTGAAGAAGGGCTGAGCCGTTCTAAATTGAAATAGGCGTTCCTAATTCCATGTATTAGGTTCGGCTCAAGAAAAGATCGGCGTCTGAACTGGGCCTTAGTAATCCAAGGAAGTAAACCGTTTAAAAAAAAAAAACAGGTTAGGCCAAGGCCAAAGGTCGAACTTTTCGTGAGACGAGCAAAACTTGGTGAGTTAAGTTCATGAAAAGTTCATCTGGGTCAGTTAGGATCGTCTGAATGAGTCTGGAACGTCCAGACGGATAGAACGTCTGAAGATCTCATCTGGGATAAAAGTCGATGTTAATATGCAACGAACTGAACTAATAAGTAAAAATATCCCCCCCCCCCCCAAAAAAAAAAAAGAAGAAGAAGAAGAAGAAGAAGAAGAAGAAGAAGAAGAAGAAGAAGAAGAAGAAGAAGAAGAAGAAGAAGAAGAAGATAATGATAATGATAATGATAATGACAATGTAAATTGCTTATCACAACCATTTTTATTTAAAACATCAATGTTAATTTTTTGAAGGAGAGAAACCATCAACTCAGTAAAAGGGGTGGCGAATGGTAAAATCCGAGACTCGCCTAGACGCCGAGATCCTAGTTAGGAATCCGAGCCCGACACTCTTTGGTAAAAAGTTTCCAGACTCAAAAAAAGTAAAAACAAACCATGCCAAAACCGAGATTTCGAGATCCTACCAAAATTTTCCGAGACCCACGTTTTCCGAGGTACCATTCGCCATCCCCTAGTAAAGATCCACAAGCAAACTTTTTTATTTTTATCTGTCGCAATTTTCTCCTTCTTTCAATTGAAAGGTAGGTAACATTTAACAAATTCTATGGCATTTAAACAAGCTTAAACCAGCGTGTCCTGAAAAAAAAACATGGATTTGTTTTTACGTTCCAGTAGTAGCAGTTGTTCTTGTTTGTTTGTTAGACTGTTTTTTTTTTTTTTTCGTTTGTTTGTTTGCTTTTGTTTTGTTTTTTATTTTTTTGTTTTTTTCATTAGAAATAGTACACGGGAAAAGGAAATGCTTTCAGTAGAAATTTTAGTGACTTTATATACCCAGAGTTTGAGACTTACCCGAGGGTGAGATGTGCGGTTCACCTAAAAAAGAGATAAGAAGATGAAATTACCAAAAAACAAAACGCTACAAAGAAAAGTCAAACAAGCGAAAAGACAACTTTGACGACGTGGACTAAACGAGAGAGAGAGAGAAAAAAAAAAGTCCAATACGAATTTTACACGATGACGTTATTTGACTACAACTTACAGAAACAAATCTACATGAGAAGGCAAACAGGTATTAGTTCTGGTAGCTATAGCTAACTGTCGTCATTGTTAAAATGTGGCGGGCCTAATAAGTATAAGAGAAAATCGCACTATGACATCATTTTACTACAACTTCCAGTATTTTAATTTCATTTGTGTTTTGCTGTGCAAATTTACTCAACGGGATTAACACATTGTAATCAGACAGAGAGAACACCTTTTCGTATTCTGCAGATAAATCCATTCCTAGCGGAACAATCAATCTCATCCCAAAGCCCAGCTTTTGAATTGGAATTGTTAGCAACAACACATGATCTTTGACTCCCCATGTCGTCAGGCTCATTGGCTGCCCAGTAAGTGTACATTGTAACAGAATTGTCGCTCCAAGTGAATTCTGCAGAGCCAGCTTCACGAACGAAGCCAAGCCACAGTCCTCCATTATCGTTCTTTAGACTACGAACGACGAAAGCTGTGGAACAAATTAAGGGCGCACACAATTAGTTATTAACCTGACCTGGTGAGCGAAAACAATATATACAGTACTTAGGCAACAACTCAGTTGGATCACAAGGGGACGCGGGGAACTCAAGATTAGAACATGAATTTTGTTTCACGCTGCTCCTTTACTATACTCGGGTTTCTAGGTTGTATACCACTGGGGGAAACCTGCAATGAACTAGGATATCCTCAGTACCAGCTTGCGAAATAGCCCCAGGTGTCCCATGGTTTTAAGTCCCGACGTTTTAGTTCCTTGCACACTCTTGGGGTACGTTCCATTGGGATATTCCGGAGCAGGATCAGTGATCTGAGATCACTAAGATCGTGATGCGTCAAAGGAACCAATGGATCCGTGAGCTTGGTGGATTCATCAGCTCCTATGACGCGTCATGACCCAAGTGCTCACAGATCACTGAGTTTGATCCAGATTATCCCAACGGAACGCACCCTTACATTTTCCAGATACCCACAGAAATTACCACGCGCTATTAAAGCTGATAACCTAACTAAATTTGCTTGAGTTTCAGAGGAACTTCCCAAGAGAAAAAGAATTTAACTTCCAGCTTTGTGAGTCAAAATGTCTCTCGAGAACTATTCCTCACTCCAAGACAATATTAACGGAAATCACTTCAAAATTAACAATCTTAATTTATCTTATCAATGGTATAACGACAGACTGAGTCTTCTTTCTCACCTTGTTCGTAGGGACTATGGACACTCATTAAATCTCCGCCACTCTCGCGCTGACAAGCTTCACGAGCTTCCTGCCAGGATAACTTGACGTAAGACACAAAGTAACAATCGCCGCCAAGCAGCTCATAATGTGGTGGGCACGTTCCATTACTAGGTGGACCTTAATTACACACAAAAATAATAACATCATAAATAATACTTCAGTAACGTACGTTGACCTTGAATCGCTTTGAACAGTCATACGAGAGCGAGAAGTCTAAAGCGAGAGGTCTGAATTATGCTTAAAACAATAAGTTGGTTTTCACATACATTGGACAGTTAAAATCAGTGTGCTTCTTGAACGCACACAAGCGAAAGACTTTTAATAAACTTTCAGTCAGGGTGATAATTTACGCAATTGATGGCGAAGTTAAAGGAATGCAAAAGCCCCAGACTCACCAGTAGTGGGACCAAGAGGAAGAGCTCCTGTCAAAAAAATAAAATAAAAACAGGTCAGTTCATTATAACGCAGCATACATTTTAGTTGGAGCAAAGAACGTCGATGATGTAAATCATGTAACCACACATAGTTTTTGAAAACAAAATCAACTTTTGTTATTTATTTATTTTTACAGGGTAAATTTTGATATTTCAATGTTTTAACACGCTGTCTTGAACGAAGCAAGGTCCTTACTCAAGCCAAAGGTTGAGGTAGTCCACTGGTTGTCTACTGATATTTGTGTGAAACCCCAAGAGCCCAGTTCAGCGTCTTGATTGAACAAATGCCACGTGCATTTTCATATTTGGAGTGAAGCAAATGATCAGGTGTTAACATTAGCTTAACAGCTTCTATTTACCACGCACCTGTTTCACATATGAATCCTTTCTTTTGACTGCACGCCACGTTGTTCCAGCGGCCAGCGTTTCCACCAGCCTGTGTTAAGTCAACACAATCAAGAGAGTAGCCAAACCCTTTCGGCTGCTTGGCATTCCAGTTTGTGTACTTAACTTGGCTGTTGTCTGTCCAGAAAAATGACCCCTCGTGGAAAATGTCATTGAATCCAATCCAGAAATTTGTTTGTTTGTCCTGGAGCATTGTAGTTAAGAACGCCTGCTCATATCTATATAAAAAATAAAAGTAATAAAAATAAAAATAAATAGATAAAAAGGTAATAAGTTACGTTAAAGCTTTGCAGGGTCGCTTTCCATTTAGGCAAATGCAAAACACCAGTAGCGTGACCACAAAATATCGACTGCGAATGTTCAATTTACTGTCATGTAGAGCACTAAAATTTTCGTCTTAGGGTACTTTTCACTACACAAAACACTTCCCAATTGTCCATTAACGGTTTAAAAATTTTGGAGAGGTGTCCGCCTTATAGAGAGTATAGTTACAGTAAAATGATTGAAAAACGGTAAGGTCCAACACCAGGTGTGCGTGAGAGGTGTCCTTATGGACGCTTCCGTTAAGAGGGAGTTGAATGAAGTAGGAACTCACAATGGCCTGATTTCCAGTTGGCTTGATTAGCTCAACGGATAGAGCGTTGCGACCGGCCATCGCAAGGATCAGGGTTAGGTTCCCAGTCAAGCCTGAAAAATTTCCAGGTTCTTTTTCAACTACTTAAGACCATTCCACCTTTATATTTAGATGCTTGACTTAGCCATAGTCTCAATTAGAATCATGTATCTAACAGCTTTTTGCAATACTCACTGATCATCAACAGTGACAAGATCACCCTTCATGCTTGTGTTTAAACCTTTTCTACACACATCTCTTGCGTTTGTCCAGCCTTGCAGGGAGTCCGACACAAAGAGATAACAACTTTTGTCATAGTTCACCCATCCACTTTTGCACCTACCAAGAGCTAAAGCAAAAATAATAAACTGTCATGAAGTCGAAAGAGGACATTAATTCACATTCTTAGATTTGTCTCCTATAGCCTTCGCTGACAGCCCTACTT